TCCCTGAGAATATGTACCACTAATTGCATAAGCTTGCCATGGGGCTAGCCCCCTTCTTAATCCCTAAAAGAACCACTCTCAGCATTACTTGACAAAGTTGACCACTCTCTTATTTTTTAAGCTCTCTCCTTCTTGGTTTCCAGGACACCACACTCTTGGTATTTTATACTCACTTCCTAAGCCTTTAAATCAGTGATGGCGAACCTATGACATGCATGTCAGAGGCGACACGCGAACTCATTTTTTTGGTTGATTTTTCTTTGTTAAATGGCATTTAAATATATAAAATAAATATAAAAAATATAAGTCTTTGTTTTACTATGGTTGCAAATATAAAAAAATGTCTATATGTAACACTGCACCAGAGTTAAGTTAGGGTTTTTTCAAAATGCTGACACGCCGAGCTCAAAAGGTTCGCCATCACTGCTCTAAATGTTGGAAGGCCCCAAGACTCAGTCCTTGGACTTCCACTCTTCTCTATTCCTACTCCCTTCTTTGGTAACTTCATCTAGTGCGGGGGTTCTTGTTCCAGCATCAAGAAGGGTTCAGCGCCCTAGCTGGCTTGGCTAAGTGGATAGAGCATCACCCTGCGGACTGAAGGGTCCCAGGTTCGATTCCAGCCAAGGGCATATGCCTGGGTAGCAGGCTCCATCCCCAGTAGGGGGTGTGCAGGAGGCAGCCAATCAATGATTCTCTCTCATCATTGATGTTTCTATCTCTCTCTCCTTCTCCCTTCCTCTCTGAAATCAATAAAGAAATCTATTTTTAAAAAAAGAAGGGTTCAGCAATCTGGAGAAGGGGCTGTGTGTAACTTAATAAAGAGTCCAGAGACAAAATATAATTTTGAAAGGCATTGGGGGTCAGAGGAGCCTAGCTAAAGAAACTAAGTTCTCCTCATCTCAGGACCCCATGTTTTTTATTAACACAATTTGTCCTAAGGCGAGGTGGAGATATACACTTCAAAGGGTAGGGTTTCATATACACAGTCCATTGTCAGAATGGAAGAATTTGCCTACGGCTGTTCAGGTGTTTGGCCAATAGGAGGCAACAACATGTAGATTAAAATGCCCAGAGCTGTCTGGCAGCAAACAATCAATTTAATGTATCCTTTTCAGCTTTGGGGAAATGCCCTTGCCACTCCAGATGATTCAGCCCTGCTGTCCTGCTGGAATTGGCTTCCGGCAATCTAGCCTCATGGCTTTAAGTAACATTTACACATTAACAACGCCAAAATTTATATCTCCAGCCTGGCCTCTCTAAACACATATGTCTAACTGCCTACTTAACATCTCCACTTGGATATCTAATAAGCATTTCAAACTTAATATGTTCCAAACTGTACTCAGCTCTTGCCAGACTGAGCTCTAAAACCCACACCTGCTTCTCCTGCACTCTTCCCTCTGTCAGTTAGTAATAATGAAAGGTTAAAAGCAATGGTGCACAGGCAAGCTAAATATCCAACTCAGAAGGTGAATAAAGAAAATTTGAATTTATTTAAGGAAAAGGGGATGGGGATATTCAAAGAGAAGGGCTATACAGCACTGAGCCAAAGGGTATTGAGTTCATGATGGCAGCAAAAAATATACTTAGGACAGTGAAACAAGGAAGGGTATAGAAGAAGCAACAGGAAAGCCTAGGCAGGGCTTCTCTGGCTCACTGACAAGTCAGAGAAAAGGGGGCCTTGGAGACAGGTTCAGGGAGTTAGCCCAGGATGAGCTGCAGCTGCCCATTGCTCCCCTGGCTGAAGTCTCATGGGGTCCCTTAGAGGTTAGGGGATATGTTCCTGTGGGGAGAGTGAGGGGGGCGGGAATGGCATGGCCATGCTCCTTGGAGGGAGAGGGCACACTGGGTCCTTTGTCCTGAGCATATTTATCTCTCTCTTGCAGATGGAAATCTTAGGGGAGGTCTCAGGGGAGGGTCTCAATAGAATATTCATCAGCTTTCCAGGTGTGCTCTTTCAGTGTCGTGGTCTCCACCCATTGGTCGATTGATTGTTAGGAGGGCAGGGGGTCATTTGTCAATTCAGCTGGTCCTGAGGCAGCCACTGGGTCACTTGTCTGATTTTGCTGCTTTTCTGGTCCTGGAGCTGAAATACAACTGAGGCCTAGATGTTATCTTTAGGGAGGAAAAGGTCAGGGGTCTAAACCACATGACTAGTGATAGGGAGGATAGGTTACCCTGGGGATAAGGTTTTTGTTTTTCCAGTTTTTTCCCTTGCTAGGCATCCAGGGCTTTCTGCCCTGGTGAGTTTCTGTACCTGGCCTATCATTCTTGCTCTGCTCATGTCTGTCTAACAAGTAACTTCCAGATACTACCTTTTAGTTGGTCAGACCAAAACCTTAATGACTCATTTTCCCTCACACTCCACATCCAATCCCTTAGGAAATCCTGTTGGTTCTACCTTCAAAATGTATGTAGAATCAATTACTTCTCACTACCTCCTCTGCTGCCACCATAGTCTGAACCACCATCATCTCTTACTACGAGCACTACATTACTCTTCTTACTGCTGTTTCCTCCTTTAACAATTTACAGTCAATTATCTACACAGCAGCCAGAGTGAGCTTGTTAAAACTTAATTCAAATCACATCACATGTTTCTCCTCTGCTCAACATCCTTCAGTTATCTCCCATCTCACTCAGAGTAAACACCTAATCCTCACAATAATCCCTAAGATCCTACATGATCAGCCCTCATTGCCTCTGTGACCTCATCTCCCATCACAGTCTCCAGTGCTCACTCCACTCCTCTCACACTGTTTTCCTTTCTGTTCTTCAGAGCCACCAGGCACACTCCAGCATTGAGGCCTTGCTTGATATTCCATTCACCTGGAATACTCTGGAATACTCTGGCCTCAGATCTCTGCATCACTTTCTCACCCCATCAGGTCTGGTTCACCTGTTGTGTCTATCTTTTAAAAAATTTCACACTTGCCATTATTCTCTCTGTTTTTTCCCCCAACAGCAATTATAACTGTAATTCTCTAACATATCATACATTTTATTTGTTTCTTTGGCATGGGTCTCTTCCTGCTGGAATATAAACTCCCTGGAAGCAAGGATTTTGACTTGTTTTATTCACCAATATACTCCTAATTCCAGGAATAGGAATTCCCTAGCACATAAAAGCTACCTAATAAAATTATTTGAATAAACGAAAAGAACTCTCTCCCATTGCTTCCTTATATTTTTTTCCTTCTCTCCAATAATATGAAATAGGCATAGCCATCTTGAAAGGATCCAAAGGCATGTTCACAGAGGAATCACACCCCAAAAGGAAAGAAAGAGTGGTGGAGAGTAAGCAAGTGGTCTTATGCCTGCCCATATTTCATTTGTCTGGTTGCCAGTGTTTCTTGAGGCTCTTTCAATATAGGCTTTGGGCTTTGGTGACTGGGATATTTTCACTGCTCTTAACATAATTTCCCCCTGAGCCTGGGCCCCCTTATCCTCCTGGCCATCTGCATATTAGACCCCAAACACCTTGCTCTGTGACAGGTTCAGATTTCTCACAGGAATGAAGTGACAGACACACATGACTGCTAGTAGAGACTAAAGGCTGTGTGGGGCCAGTAGGTGTGTGTGTGTGTGTGTGTGTGTGTGTGTGTGTGTGTGTGTGTGAGACTTAATAGTCTGCATCTTATCTATACCCATTGTATGTGGATGTCTACATACATGGTTTTCAACAGTGCTGGCAAGGTCCTTCTTTATCTTTAGAGGTCCTTACTGCAATCCCTTTAATCCTAACTCTACCTCAATCCTGCAGTTAATCACCACCATCAGAGCTAATACATGCCAGACACTGTGCTAAATGTTTTATGTGCATTTTATTTATTTACTCTACACAGCAACTTTTTGATATAGGTGCTATGATCATTTCTGTATTCCAGATGAGGAAACTGAGATCCAGAGAGATAATTAGCTCAAGTATCTATCTGGCTGCCAGCTGATGTTGGTTTAGGATAGCATATTTCAAACTCTTCTGAATATATATCTATATCTATATCTATATATCTATATATCTATATATCTATATATATATACATACATGTATATCACAACTAACATACAAAATTGAAACTAACTTTTCACAGAATAATACCCTTAATATTTGTTTTGTAGTCTGATATTTTCACTTCAGTTACAAAAAAAGAGTTGGTCAGGCCCTGGCCTGTTTTGCTCAGTGGTTAGAGGGTCGACCCACAGACTGAAGGGTCTGGGTTCAATTCTTGGTCAAGGGCATGTACTTGCATTACAGGCCCAATCCTGGCCCTAGTTGGGGTGTGAGCAAGAGGCAACTGATTGATGTGTCTCTCTTACATCGATACTTCTCTCTTCCTGTCTCTCCTGCTCCCTTCCACTTTCTCTAAAACTCAATGGAAAAAAATGTCATCAGGTGAGGATTAGGATAAAAACACACCAAAAACAAACAAAAAAGCTGGTCAGGATACACCTCATTAATTTTACCACGGAGATGGACCCACTTCACCATTAATTAAAGGATTGTAAACAGCCCTTTGAAAATCACTGCTTTAGGGTGCATGCCCATTTTCAAAGCTATTTGAATTTCTCAGAGACCTCTAAAATGGTTCATGCCCCAAAGGGAATCATTATATTCCTGGAATGACAGGCATTGGGGGACAGGGGATTGAGGCACCAATAGCATGCCTCAGAGTGCCTGGTGAAAGTTTGACCCTGCATGGCTTGCCCTACCCCTCTTAGAATCTACTCTGACCTTCTTTGAACCCAAGCTCAGCCATTTTTTTCTCCTTTCACAGAACATCAATTCATTCAACAAACATTTTTAGTGTCTCAAGACTAGGTGCTTTGACAGAAGCTTTTGGAAAGCAAAATTATGTGGGGTGACCAACTCATAATAAGCTAACTACATAAAGCAAGCAGTAATAAGGGTAATAAAAAGGGTGCCCATCAAATGTCATGAGCATGCATAGAAAGGGAGATTGATTTCAACTTGGGTTGGAACTTCATAAAAGATACGGCTTTGGTCTGGGGCCGGGGCGGCAGGCACCATGTCCGGCCACGAAGGTGACAAGAAGAAGCCCCTGAAGCAGCCCAAGAAGCAGGCCAAGGAGATGGACGAGGAGGACAAGGCATTCAAGCAGAGGCAGAAAGAGGAGCAGAAGAAACTCAAGGAGCTGAAAGCGAAGGCGGAGGGGAAGGGCCCCCCTGGCCACAGGTGGAATTAAGTAATCTGGCAAAAAGTGAACTGTTCCTTGTGCCTGGGGCAATGATGATCCTTAGTTCCATTCCTGTTTTAACATCAGGATTCCCTGTCATCACATCTCTTGCCACCTATAGCTAAAATGAAGTGTTGTCTTGGAGGCTGTGGTACATTTAAGAATAAACTTTTGTAAAAAAAAAAATTTTAAAAAAAGATATGGCTTTGAGCCTGACCAGAAAGGATGACTAGGACTTAGACAAGCAAAAGTAGGGAAGGAATTATCAGAAGATATTAAAACAAAAGGAAACAAAACAAAAACTTGTGAGCTGGAAAGTGTGGATATGTAGAGAGTCTGAAGAGTATTTAGACCAGGTGGAGAGAATTGTTAATATCTTGCTGCTTTATTTTGTAAGCAATGGGGAGTCATTAAAAGTGTTTCATCAGCCCTAGCTGGTTTGGCTCAGTGGATAGAGTGTTGGCCTGTGGACTGAAGGGTCCCAGGTTCGATTCCAGTCAAGGGCACGTGCCTGGGTTGCAGGCTCAATCTCCAGTGAGGTGCATGCAGGAGGCAGCCAATCAGTGATTCTCTGTCATCATTGATTTGTCTATTTCTCTCTCCCTCTACCTTCCTCTCTGCAATAAATAAAAAAGTCTTTTTAAAAAGTGTTTCATCAGGGGAGGATCAACCTTTAGGGTTCTAACTCTGGCAGCAGTGTGAAAGTGGATTAAAGTGGATTGGAGGGCAGCAAAAATGGAGGTAGGTGAACAGTTAGGAGGCTGATGTGATAGTTCAGGAGAGACATAAATGAGGGCCTGATGTGGAGCAATGGTGGTGGATATAGAAAGGAGGGGATACACAGAAGAAATGCCATAAGGGTTGAAGCAACAGGACTTGACAACTAATAATATGTATGTGTGTGCAGGTGAAGTCTTCTGTCCTCCTTCCCAGTTTTCCCTCAACCCAGGGCTTCTACAGCAGTCTGATGAACTCTGAATCCTCCTATACTAGGATAGAGGAAGAATGGGTATGGCTGGATGGTTCCTGCTGAGCAAAAGGTGAGGGAGAGGAGATAGTTAATCATAGGCAAGCCAGGAGGCCAGGCTGGGCTTATCCTGTTGCCATAGCATTTCAGAAGATCATAGAATTTTAGAGCAGGAAAGCAACCTTAGGATCCTGCTGTGAGGATGCCCAGCCTAAGCCAAACCAGCTAGGGCTTTTCTTCCTTTCTTTTACTCCCTTTTACTCCCTCTCCTTATTTTCTCCCTTCTCTTCCTGAATCTCCCCAGCACCTCACACCCCCAAGAAAAACAAAACAAAACAAGAAACACAATTTTTCCTTGGAGTTCAGGAGACATCATCTGGAATCTGAGAGATGACTCAAGCACTCAAACCATCCCAATTTGGAGGGGCGAGTACCCTAGAAGGAGCCTCACCTTCTGTTAAGTAGATTCTTTGCCAGCTTTCTTTATAGTGCTTTTCCTGGTCAAGCACTCCTCTGGCTGAAAGAATCTCTTCCTGTCTTTTCACCACCTCACTGGAGAATGGTGTAACAAGCACGTTGAACAGGTTTAGCAGTTTACTCAATGCAGTGAAGGTCAGTGAAAGCTGGGGCTGGAGGCCACAGCTCTTTCTTTTTCACTTCTTTGCTCTTTCTACTGGCCTCTCACTTCTATCAGTGTGGTTCATGGACCAGCGGCATCCACATTACCTGGGAATCTGTCAGAAATGCAGGACCTCGAGCTCCACCCTGTATCTACTGATTCAGAATATTTACTTTAACAAGAATATCCTTGAACATTCAAGTTTGAAAAGCACTGTTCTTCATAGACTACCTCTCTATATGGACACAGTCATTCCTAGAGCAACCCTTTCTGTGTTTGCTTGAAACTGTGGAGGGGGTAAAGAAACTGAAGGTCAGAGAGCCCTGGAGGGCAGGGGTTACTACTCAGATATCTTCAGAGGCTAGGCAGGGGGTCTGGCTCTAAAGGAAGCAGTTGCTACTCAACTCCAGCTGATTGTTGCATGGTGGGAATAGCAGCCTATATATATCACATCTTCTTTATCCATTCATCTTCTGATGAACACCTAGGTTGCTTTCATATCTTGGCAATTATAAACAATTCTGCAATAAACATGGGGCTGCACATGTCATTTTGAATTAGTGTTTTCATTTTCTTAGGATAAATAACCAGAAGTGGAATTGCTGGGTCATATTGCAACAACATGTATGGACCTGGAGGGTATTATGCTAAGTGAAATAAGACAAAGACAAATACCATATGACTTCACTTATATGTGGAATCTAAAAAAAGTAAACAAATGAACAAATAAAACACAAAGAAGACTCATAGAACGGAGAACAAACTGATAATTGGAGGGTGGTAAAAAGTGAAGGGGAATAAAAGGTAAAAACTTCTAGTTGTAAAATACATAAGCCACAGAGGTGTAGTGTACAGCACAGGGAATATAGTGAATAATATTATGATAAGTTTACATGGTGACAGTTGGCTACTAGACTTAGTATGGTGATCACATTGTAAGGTATATTATATACATATAGAGGCCAGGTGCATGAAATTCATGCACAGGGGAGGGGTCCCTCAGCCCAGCCTGCACCCTCTCCAATCCAGGATCCCTTGGGAGATGTCCAACTGCTGGTTTAGGCCCAATCCTGAGGACATCCCTCTCACAATATAGGACCGCTGGCTCCTAACTGCTCACCTGCCTGCCTGCCCGATCATCCCTTCTGACCCCCTGCCAGTCTGATCAACCCTAACCGCCTCTGCCTACTGGCTTGGTCGCCCACAACTGCTCCCCCTCCAACCTGGTCACCCCCAACTGCCCCCACCCCGTTGGCATGGTTGCCCCTAACTGCCCCCCCCCACCCAGCATGGTTGCCCCTTACTGCCCCCCGTCCCAGCCTGGTTGCCCCTCATTGCCCCCCTCGGCTGGCCTGGATGCCCTTAATTGCAACCCCCTGCTGACCTGGTCACCTCCAACTCCCCCCCCCCCCGCCAGCCTGGTGGCTCCACACTGTTCCCTTCTGCCAGCCTGGTCACCCCTCTGTCAGCCTGGTCGCCCCCAACTGCCCCCCTGCAGGCTTGGTCACCCCCCACTGCCCCCCCCCCCCCCCGCTGGCCTGGTTGCCCCACGCAGCCTGCTATTCAGTCATTTGGTCATCCCTCACTAACTCCCCTGCCACTGCCAGCCTTGTCGCCCCACTCAGCCTGTTAGGTTGTCCGTTCAGTCATCTGTTTGGTTGTGATGGCCCCTGGTTCTTTATATATATATATATATATATATATATATATATATATATATATATATATATAGAGAGAGAGAGAGAGAGAGAGAGAGAGAGAGAGAGAGAGTTTAACATCCAACAAATTTAAAAACAGTATGGTGGGCTGTTGGATACACACTCCATTTATAGTCTCTTATGTAGTCTAGGTTTGTTTGTTTTTAGCAACAGGGATTCTTTGATCAAACAGAATCTTACCTGGAAGCTTAATGGATTAAGCAGATGAAAGGAGAACTACTCTGGTTGAAGTGAGGTCCAGAGCTTCTCCCACTCAACCTATCCCATGTCCTCCAGGACTAAGAGTAGCCTCTAAAGGACTCTCCCTACACTCTATAAATACAAAGCCAGGCCAAAAAGCACTGAGATCCCTAGCAGTTTGGCTCAGTGGATAGAGTGTCAGCCTGTGAACTGAAGGGTTGAGGATTCGATTCTGGTCAAGGGCACCTATCGGGTTGCAGGCTCAATCCCTGGCCTCAGTAGTGGCATGTGTGGGAGGCAATCAATCATTGTGTTTCTCTCACATCAATGTTTCTCTCGTCCTCCCTTCCTCTCTCTCTAAAAGTCAATGGGAAGATATCCTTGGGTAAGGATTTAAAAAAAAACCACATTGAGAGATTCTAACAATATTTGACAGATGAAAAGGCTGCATAGCTTGTCCAAGGTCACACAGCAACTGACTTTTTTGCATGGTTCTCTAGTGCAGCCTTTCATCAATGGAGGATTTATTCTACAGTAGCACTGGCAGGTGGGCTTCCAGATTCTGCTTGGATGCCTTCAATGATGGGAAGCACACCAGTTCATAAGGTTGGACACTAACATGAGAGTTTGGCTTGCCAGAGAATCTCTGAACAGATACATATTATTCATGAGCTCTGCAGGTCCTGAATCCACCCAACTGAGTTGACACCTCTGTCCATCTGATTGAAAATCTTCATTCAGTTATTTCAGTTCCTGCCTTTGTACTGAAAATGAATAGTGGACTGAAAAGTAAATTTCTTAGATAGACAGGAAGTTATTTGAGGCTAAAGGTATGGCGTGGGAAAAAGAGAAGAGGGAACAAAAGAGGAAAGATGACAGTGCTAAGAAAAGTGGATAAATGAGATGAACTTGAAGTCATTTCATTTATACAAATTTGAAAGTCCCATAGCTGGTCTGATTGAATTTGCTTTACCACAATCCTCAATTGGGCACTCAACACTTTCCGAAAACCTTAGTATGTGTCTCTAATGTATTTGCTTTTTTTTTTTTTAGTTTCCCTAAGACACTGCATGTCAACCTTAGTTGTGCATTAGAATCATCTAGGGATCTTATAAAAATCCTGATGGCCAGGCTATACCTTATTCCAATTAAATAATAATCCCTGAAGGTGGGATTTGGTGTTTTTTTATTGATTTTAGAGACAGAGAAATGGAAAGGGAAGACTATATACACATATATATATATATATATATATATATATATATATATATAGAGAGAGAGAGAGAGAGAGAGAGAGAGAGAGAGAGAAACATCTATGTGAGAGAGAAACATTGATCGGTTGCCTCTTGTGTGCACCCTGGCTGGGGATTGAACCTGCAACCTAGGTATGTACTCTGACTGGGAATTGAACCCATGATCTTTCATTGTCTGGGATGATGCTCCAACCAACTGAGTCACACTGGCCAGGGTTAGACATCAGAGTTTCTTAAAACTTTCCTGGTGATTCCTATGTGTAGCAAAGGTTGAGAGCCATTGCTCTGAGAGGACTATTTCATACTTGCTATTCCCTCCTATAACTTTCAATGACTCCTCC